GAGCTTAGACTAATTTTTATTCTCCACAAAGAATATATTTGCCTAATTCACAAAACATGGATCTTTCATTAAAAGTCCTTTCTCCCACATTACTACCAAGTCACCTCATGTTGCAAAGAGACCAGAAACAAAAGTATGAAAACAGGCCTGGAGGTGGGTCCACAGACCTCCATGGGGACCAGAGATGTGACATGGAAGGACGAGGGCCATGAGGATGAAAGGTGCAGGGTCCTGGGTGACACATCCGTGTGGAAACAGAAGTGACCTGTGTGAGGCACCTGGCCCTGTCTAGCATCACAATCCCTCTAGCCCCAACTCTGAGGAGCCAGACATGGGGTCTGTCTGCTGCGCAGGTGCAACACCCCAAGCTTCACCCTGGATTTCCACAGACAACATCTCAACACTGTGTAAGTGACTGAGCTTCACCCCATACTCAGCAAAACTGTGTGTGCAAACAAATACACTTGTTCATTTATTAAGTGCAAATAATAATGTACCCCCCACAGAAAAAAAGGTTTCATCTGTGCCCACCTATGATCTCTTGCAGGAAGGGGTATGCAGACACCTGCAACAGCTGAAACCCAAGATATCTGACCCCAGAGGGCTCCCCTGGAGACAGTGACTGCAGTGATTAAAGGCCAGCTGGGGTCACTATAAAGCTCAATGCTCAGCCCAGGCCTGAGACAGAGCCTCATGCTGAGACACGTGTCCTGGGCACCTGCATGGATGGCAAAGGGCAAGGCTGAGTCCCCACCCCAACACAAGGACCATGGAAACACCCCTTACCTCAAAGCCTTGTTACCTCACCTCTCGGCATGAATGGAGAAAGGTGTTTTGGACCAGGGGCTCCCCCACTACCTTGTCAGGCCTGACAATAAAGGAAAACTCCCCCCCACGGGACCCACAGGAGACGTCATCTGGGATAGTCACCGAAGCCCTTGGTCAGAACACCCCTTTCCTGAGTGGGGAGGGGACAGTGCCTGTCACTGTGGTGACAAAGCCAGCTGGTGCTGACAGAGGCCCCTGCAGGACTGAGCGAATGTTCACTTCCCTCCTGCTGCTCCTGCACCCAGTCAACACATCTCTCACCACGGTGTCCCTTCCCCACGTCCATGGAAGTGGGCCTGGTCAGTCCCTAGGAAAGCCCTGCGGGCAGCTGCCAAGCCACCTGGGACACCTGCTGAGTATCATCCACAGCTGGAGAAGCCCCGCCACGGCCGTATCTGTCCTGACACGGACCTCCGCACATGGGCCCGATTCCCTACGGGCCCAATCCTGCAACAGCAGTGTGCTCAGTGATCTAGGTCCTGTGTCTCCTGTGTCCCCAAATGCTTCCTTCTAAACCTCAATCCTGCTGGGAGTCCATTCACCCCACAGGGACCTGGAGAAAAGACATTAGACCAATTCTAGGGTCATCACCAGAAAGCTGAGATCCTAGACACTTCCCTGAACTGAGCCCCACACTGGAGCCCAGACTCCTGTGGGAGCAGGAGGAGAAGGAGGATCCCTCAGTTTTGGGTGGAGTCTACAAGGAAAACACCCTCCCTGGTCTCTGGGGGCTGAACAGTCTGTGAAACCACAAAGTTCCCCAAGCAGCAGCCTGGGCCTGCCTGACTTGCATAGCCAGCAGCTCTCTCCAGCAAGAGGATAGACAGGCCTTGGGGGAACATGCCCAGCCTCAGCCTCAGGGAGCAGCATCAGGCACCACCATGGCCTGGACCCCTCTCCTCCTGGGCCTCCTGGCTCACTGCACAGGCACCGTACCAAAGGTGACTGCATGCCAGCCCCAGGGCTCTGGGACCAGCCTGGTACTGACTCTGAGCTCAGTGGTGGCTGCTTGTGGGGGCAGAATGCTGTGGAGGAAATGGTTTTAGGGGGCAGAGACCCTACTGTGCTCACTACTCTGTGTGAGACTGAGGGGCTGTGCCTGCCACAAGAAAATAGGGGGTCTCATTTGTTCAAATGTTCTACCCCCTGCCAGGCCTATGAGCCAGTGAAGCTGAGAATTAAGGGAGTGTGTTTCTTGGAGTCTAAAAGACCTTGTATGAAGATGGTCATGCAGGAGGAAAGGGGATTTTCTTGGAATTGGCCTGGACCTCAGTCTCTGGAAGCTGGACAATGGAGAGAAGTGCTGTGCATCCAGTGTTGATGTCCAACAGACATGGCATTTGGGAGACACTGACTCAGTCCTGTGAGGTCTGGCCACCTTCCTGACATGTTATTGCGTCCTCAGAGACCCTTTCACCACTTCTCAGTTTCTCCTCTATCACCCTCACTATAGAGATTTTGCTTTAGTTCTTGTAGGTGTGAGAACTCAGGAAGGCTGCTGCTGCTCCAGCCATCACATCCAAGCTCAGGAGGAAAGGTACTGTGTAAATCTAGTTGGCTCTTTTCTGTAGAAGAGGAAAGTTCCCTGGAAGATTCCCCATGACTGACACCTACACCCTTGATCCAATGCTGAGCTACCAGTTTGATTCATCCTGCCAGGGACCTGGTCATTGTGTCTGGTTTTTGAAATAAATACAGGGGAAGGATGATGGGCAGGTATAAATGGTGGAAATTGCTGGGTCTCAGACCCAGTGTTTCCAGTCATTACCTTCCATCCCAAATAGAAATTCCTGAGAGCATGGAGTGTCTTGTTCATGTCCTATTCCCTGGATGGAATGTGCCAGAAGAAAGGGTGTCAGAAGACACATTTGCTGGGAGGGTTTCTCCATCTCTGTGTCTGGTGCAATATCCAGCAATGCCCCATGATGTCTCTGCATGCCTTCTGGCACCAATAAGAAGCATTCCTGACAACATTGTACCCAAAGAGTGCTAAGCGCATGACCCCCTCTTCCCCCCGCAAAAAAACCTCATAGATTATGTGCAGGGGTGCCTCAAGTGGCCCTTGCTCTCCCCTCCCTCAAATCAGCATGTTCATATTTTCCTGGGTAAATGAGTCCCTTGTGCCTAGTCTCAGGCAGGCTGAACTCTTCAGAGTGGAGTATTTCCTCGCTGGGAATAGCAATCTATGCATCAGGGCATCAGGACCTGAGCAATAGTTTCGTTTGTTTGTTTGTTTGTTTGTTTGTTTTCCTAATGCCATATGAATAAGTATTTTATTTTATTTTTTATAACTTTTTTTTAAGATTTATTTATTTATTATTTATACAAGCACAGGGTACAGTCAGAAGCGGGAGGGTGAGAGAATTCACCAGAGCCAGAGCAGGGAGCAGAGCAGGCAGAAGGACTGAGGTACACTGCTGAGGGGAGCAGCGGGCGGCAGGAGAGGTCTGCGCGCCATGTGGGACCCTCCTCCAGTGGCCGGGGAGCAAAAGGGGAGCGAACCAGCGCTGCAGAGGCTGCGGGCAGCTTCGCAACCCAGCGCTCAACCGCTGCGCCACCGGGGAAGCCCTATTTTATTTTATTTAAATAAATTTTATTTTTACATTCCCCTTACAATTGCAACCCCCTTATTTTGACCCCAATCCCTCCCCTCCCCACACCCCACCCCCCATAGAGTATCTCTGGTTCATAGTTCTTTGTTGATTTTGATTTTCACTTTCTTATAGTTATTCATTTTCCTGGTCCCTTATTTAAGTTTTCTAGATTCCTGCTATGAGTGAGACCATCCGGTATTTTTCTTTTTCTTTCTGGCTTATTTCGCTGAGCATGATCCCTTCCAGCTCCATCCATGTTGCTGCAAATTGCATGTGTTTATCTTTTTTGAATGCTGAGTAATATTCCATGGTATATATGTACCACATCTTCTTGATCCAGTCATTTATTTTTGGGCATTTGGGCTGTTTCCAAAGCTTAGCTATTGTAAATTGTGCTGCTATAAACATAGGGGTGCAGGTGCTCTTTGGAACTGATGTTTCTGTGTCCTTTGGGTAAATACCTAGGAGTGGAATTGCTGCATCATATTTTTGAATCTAAGACTTTGATAAGATGCTGTTGAGCCTGCAGCAGCCAGTGTGCAGCTGGGATCCACTAGGGGGCAGCAGAGGTCCACATAGGCTAAAGTGACAAAACCACCAGAGATGGGGTTTTGAGCAAGTGGGGCATGCAGAGAGGGTAGGAATAGCCCCCTAACACCTGAGAAATAGGCATCAACATTTTTCTGTAACATCGTCCTCGACAGTTGTGCAAATCCTTCTGAACGTGGCCTTCAGATCTGATACCTGACGAAAGTGCCGATGGCTCTGGTGATGGGTTCAGGTGTGTCCCTTCAACGATACTGAAGTTCTGTCACTGTGCACAAACACCTGTTCTCCCTGTGATTGGAAGCCCCTGTCCTGCCAGACACATCTGCTCTGCCTTCCCCAGATACGTGTTTGGCACACAGTGTTGCCTAATAAACATTTTCTGGCTGAATTGATTAACCGTATTTTAACTTAATAAACTTCCCAGGCACCTAAAGGAATGGCTTATAATAATCACCCTTCAGATTGGCAGCCACCATGATGTGTATCCAGTATGTCTTGGCAGCACGCGATTTGTCCTTGGTCTGGTGTGGACCTGGGGATACTGAGGCACAACACTATGACTTGTCCCTGAATAACAGCAAGGACGGGAACTTACAGCATCTTAGTGACTCCATGTGTTCTTGCCTTGATGAATTTCATTTGACCTCTGCTACGCAGAAGCTGTATTCAGGGCTGGACCTGCACTGTCTAACCTGCTATTGTCCCCTGTAGAACAGGCTCGGTGATGCCGACACTTCACCTCTGAGCTCTGACAGCACCATTTCAGCCCAGGAGTAAATTCAGGACACATGGGAGGAGGAGATATTACCCACATTATCTGCAGGGCCAGCTGGAGGAGGATCCTAAAGTTGGGAATTGGTTCTGCAGGAACCCACCGCTCCCTGTGTCCCTGGAGGCTGAGTCTTCTCTGAAACCACAGAGCCCTGGCTGATTTGCATACCCAGCAGCTCTCTCCAGCAAGCGGATAAGACAGGCCTGGGGGGAACCTGCCCAGCCTCAGCCTCAGGGAGCAGGATCAGGGACACCACCATGGCCTGGACCCCTCTCCTCCTGGGCCTCCTGGCTCACTGCACAGGTACCTTACCCAGGCTCACTGTACCCCAGCCCAGGGCTCTGGGACAAGCCTGGACATGACTCTGAGCTCAGCAGGGTCAGTCTGGGTGGGCAGGATGCTCTTGACTTTGTGCAGGATGGGGCTCAGGGGTGCTGAGACCCCCGGTGTATTCATGTTGCTCAGCAGCTTTGCCTGCACACAGAAATGGGGAGGGCATCACACGCTAAATGCTCCATCCATCTGCCATGCTGTGGGTCACTGGGACTGAGACTGGTGGAACTGGGCACCATGGGGGCCTGAGACATAGTAGCTGAGTCAAATTCATGCAGGGAATTGGGGCGAATAGATATTCCATTTTCCAGTCAACTTCTATTCCTCTCTCTTGCAGGCTCTGTGGTCTCCTACGAGCTGACTCAGCCAACCTCAGTGTCGGTGTCTCTGGGACAGACGGCCAGGATGACATATCAGGGAGACAACGTTGGAAGTAAAATTGCTTACTGGTACCAACAGAAGGCAGGCCAGACCCCTGTGCTGGTTATTTACAATGATTATCAGCAGCCCTCAGGGATCCCTGACCGGTTTTCTGGCTCCAACTCGAGGAACACGGCCACCCTGACCATCAGCGGGACCCGGGCCGAGGACGAGGCTGACTATTACTGTGGGGTGTGGGACAGCAGCAGTGATCATCCACAGTGACACAGGGCCATGGGGAAGTGAGACACGAACTCTCCACCATCTGGGTTACACTCTCCTCCAGCCCCCGTGGGATGAGACTCAGCCATGAGCAGCTCTGACCTGGGTCCCCCAGATATGAGGTCCCCAGGCTCCGCCCCATTTCCCCACACTACCCCCACGCAGGCTCTGCAGCCTGTGTCAGGAGTGATGTAGGGCTCAGGGCCAGGCTGTCTCGATGTTTTCCGGACAAGGCTGTGAGCTGAGGAAACAGGGATGCATTGAAAGACAGAGGGAAGGAAACATTTGTTCCATGTGTTAAAAGAAAAAAAAAAATCAATCATTTAGGAAATGCCCAAAATTTTTGAGTAAAATCGCATTTGGATGGTGAGCACCACACTTACCAGTTAGGAAACTGCCAGGAGGGACCTGATGCTGCCGCCTCCCTGACTCGGGCTGTTCTCTGTCCTCTGGACACCTGCACCACCTCTCCGTGAGCGAGTGCCCCTGGGAAACGGCACCTGCCACAGTTTCTGTTTTCCTTATTGAACCACCGTTTCCAGACACAAACACCCTCCCCGTTATTAAACAGTCTGTGAGTTTGGACACAGCGCGCGTAGGGGTCGCGCGGCCACAGTCTCCACGCAGAACAGCACAAGCCCTCTCTGTCCTTCCCCGGCCCTGGGCGGTCACGCCTCTGCCCCAGCGCTGACGGTGCTAATCCCTGCCTGTCCCCGGACTTGGGCCTTAGCAAAAAGTCATAAAATGGAATCACACATGGGAGCTTTTATTTCTGCTTTCGTTCAGCATAAAGCATCTGAAATTCCTTTACGTTGCTGTGTGCACTGATAGTTCATTCTGTCTCCATGCTGAGAAGTTTCCAGAGAGGGATGAACACTAGTTTATTGACCATTCCCCATAATTAGCCTTTGTTCTCTGTCTAGTTTCAATCTGGGCAATTTGAAACAAATCATATAGCATTTACTTGCAGGATTTTGGTGGACATTGTTTTTATTTAGGTAAAAAGAAGGGAATTGCTGAGTCACATGGCAGATAAATGATTAACTCTCCAAGAAACTGCCAAATCGGCTTCCAGTGTGGAAGCTGTTTTTGCACTTTCATTAACTGATAATACTTGCCTCTGTTCCGCATCCTCACACTTGCTAGAGATTTTCAGATTTTTTTTTTTCTCCAAAACCTCTCTAGTAGGTCTGTACTGACATCTTGTTATTTTTCTAATATTTGTTTTCATGCTGATTTATGGTGTTGAATTCTATTCAAGTGTTTGTGTATTTTGTTTCTTAAAGTGTTTGTTTAAGTATTTGCTCAATTTTTAAGTTGAAATTGTCCTGCTTTGTTCCTATTCATTGATGTGTGTGTGTGTTCAGTTCTCTGTGACTTTATCAAATGACAAGCTCGACTCTTACCCCAGCAATGAAGCCCGAACACAGCTGCATCGCCATGAGGATCCCCCATTCCCTTTCATAAGAACTTCCTCCCTCCCGCCCCTGGGTCTCCTCCTGTGCCTCAACCCTGACATCCTCTGATTTGTTCTCCTTTTTCACTTTCTTATGATGCTATATAGAATTAAACAATGAATCCTATAATATGCCGCATTTGAGAACAGCATTTCCTTAGATGATTCCTCTATAGTCATAGAAATTATTGTTGCTTTAAGAAATAATTCCTTTCTATTTCTTATAATATCCCATGGTTCTGTTGTAAGATCATTGGTTTAACCACCACCCCATGAGAGACAACTGGGGTGTCTTATGGACAGAGTGCTGTAGACATTGTTGTCTGGGTCTTTTCTATGAACATGGATTCCTTTTATGAACTAAATACCCAACTTCAGTTTCTGGGTTGCCTGGTCGTTACCAGCCACATTTATAAAGAAACTGATGAACAGGAGCGGGAGGTAGATGGGTGCAAACCAGGGATGGAAAAGCACAAGAGACTGTGGTGATGGTTCATGGGTGATTTGGTGTGTGAAGAATTTTGTGAGGAGAAATCAAACATTCTAAAAAAAAGAACAACAATGTAAAAATAAATAAATAAATATATATTTTTTTAAAAGAAGAAACCGATAGACATGCCAGAGTGTTATCATGTCACATTCCTCCAGCCCACCTAGGGGATCCAGATGGTGCCATCCCGGCCAGCTCTTGTGTGGTCCCTCTACACATCAGCCTTCCTTAGGGGTGCAGGGTGGGGTCTCACTGTGTTTTTTTTTTTACATTTCTGTAACAGCCAACATGAACCTCCTCCTGTGCCTTTTGCCAGCTCTGTGTCATCTTCTGGAATATTTGATCTTTCCAGTACAATGGTGGCTTTTTGAGTGTGCGCTCTCCAGACACCTTTCATTTTCTGTTATTGGTGATATCACATCCTCTCCTAAAATGATTGCAAAAGAAATGATTTTACCTTTAATGAGATGCAATTTATCAAACTATCTTTTACAAATCACAGTTTACCATGGAGAATTCTTGCCTAGCACTAGAGTCTAATGAATTCTCTCCGCATTTTTCTCAAAAATAGAAGCAAACGAAAGCCCCGTCTGAAGGGGTCTCGCCAGCTTTGTGGGTGGTGATGGAATCCGGACTCTCACACACGGATGACCATGGTCCTCACTCTGGCTTCAAGCGCAGCCCAGCCTAAGTGTGTTGTCGTCACTAGAGAGGGACTCTAAGGGCACAAAATGAAGTGTGTGTAGGTGTGTGGGGGTGTTGTGTGTGTGTGCTGTGTACACAGGAAGCACTGTCTCACAAGTCACTGACAGGTTAGAGGCTCCTGTACAGGTAATCTGACTGGGGATCATGTCACATCTTCTAGAAGCTGAGTACTTTTCTATCCTTAAGAGCCCCTAGAAGGCCACAGGAAGTAAGTGGATTAGCATTCTACCTGAGGATAAGAGAGGCCCTGATTACACATCCCAACTGAAGGCTCAGAGACAGTTCCAGGGACATCTCCCCCATAGCCTGCAGTCCACCCCTGCTCTCCCTGCTTATTATTTGCACAGGTTCTGGCCCTAGGGATCATCCCACACACAAACCAGGGAGCAGGCTGGCCTTGGCCTTCAGCACAGCACAGGGGATGCAGCAAGGGCTGTACCCTCTGGGAATGACCCTCATCCTCACACTCACCTCTCTTCTCTCCTCTTGCATGTTCAGTGGTCACTGCTGAGCTGAGTCAACCACAGGCAGTCTCTGTGGCCTTGGAAGAGATGGTCACGATCACCTGCCAAGGAATAAACAGTTACGCTAGCTGATACCAGCTGAAGCCCGGCCAGGCACCTGTGCTGCCCATTGATTGTTTAGATGCCAGACCTTCAGGTATCCCTGCCCAATTCTCAGGCCCCAGCTCTTTGAGCACTGCCACCCTGACCATCAGCTGGGCCCAGACGAGTACAGGTTGCCTACTACTGTCAGGTGTGGGATGAGGATAGCAATCAACCCACAGTGACACGGGGCCATGGAGAGGTGAGACACAAACCCCTTCCTCATCTGGGTCACACTGTCCTCCAGCCCCAGGAGGATGGAGACACAGCCATGAGCAGCTCTGTCCCGGGTCCAGATCTGAGGTCCCCTGGCTCCCCCTCCACCAGCTCCCAGGCAGCATCAGCACTGGGCAGATCAGGAGAAGTGAGCCCACAGGACGAGGCTGCCATGTGCTTTCTTGACCACAGCAGATGTGGGCATTGAGGGCCCAGGTGGAAGGACTGAGGGACAGAGAAGAGCAAGTGCAGAGAGAGACCTCGGGGCTGTGCTCAGATTCCCAAGAGCACTGGGGAGCACAGGGGTGAGGGAGGAACAGGATGGGCTGCAGGGATGCCTGCCCTGAGACACAGAGGGAGCTGCCGACGTCACTCCCAGGCACGCACTTTCTCTGTCACATAAATATTGAACTGTTTCCAGTGATATACAGAATAAAGATATTTTAAAATGCTTAGAAATGAACACAGATCTCCAGTGGCACACAAGGAATCATTCACAATTCCTGGCAATAATCAAAACCATCCTCTAGAGAATTATGGAAATATGGACCATAATTATACAGAAAAAAATCAATAATCCCAAACTGGTCTTGAAATTGCCCACCGTGTTTGTAGATAAAGAGACTAAATAAATGATTATGACTATTCCCATCAGTCTGTCTGTTCTGTTCCCCGCTCTGGCTCTGGTGAATCCTCTCACCCTCCCGCACTTCTGACTATACCCAGTGCTTGTGTAAATAAATAATTTTTTTTTAAAAAAGACTTGTTACTGTCTAAAACAATATGCACTGACCATGTATGCTGAAATTTATAGTGTACATAACAGTAAATTGCTGGATAATTACAGCAAAATGAGTGAAAATAAATGATGATTACATGGACTGTACACTCTATGTGACACGATGTACACCACATAAATTCAATTGTGAACTATAATTATATGATGATTATAGTTAATAAGAAAAAACAAGGGGAGATAAAGTGGAATCATAATACAATTTAATCAAAAAGAAGAAGACAGAGGAAAATGCAAAAACAAAACAGATGAGAAAATGAAATACCATAGAATATTTAAATGAATATTGTGTCATGTTTAAAAAATACCTATACACATTTAAAATATATCAATGCCCGGGCCTCCCTGTTGGCACAAGGTGTTAAGACACAACCTATGCATCTACCCACAGACACTGCAGCACCAGTACCATCCCCGACAAGGGAGCTACCCACATGGCGCAGCAGACCTCTCCTGACTCGCCCGCTTCTCCCCTCAGCAGTGTACTTCAGTCAATCTGCCTGTTGTGTTCACCACTCTGTCTCTGGTGAATCCTTTCATCCCCCACATTTCTGGCCATAGCCCAGTACTTGTATGCATAAATAATAAATAAATCTTTATATATATATATATATATATATATATATATATATATATATATCAATGTCCACTTTCATTGTAAATAATCAAAATATCACAATTAAGAGCAGAGACTATCCTCCCCAATGGCGCAGCAGTTGAGCACTGGGCTGTGAAGCTGCCTACAGCCTCTGCAGCGTTGATTCAA